ATTTAATTTCGTTTTATAGTATTTCAATGTTTGTATTGTGTGTTTTTAATTTTGGCTGTTCACCGCCCCGAGTCTCGGGAGAGGGGGCGGTATAAAATTTTAAAAAATAAAATAAATAAATAAAATAAATGGCAACCTAGAAGCCTTGTTTCTCCTGCTGGATGAACAGTAACCTCCCACTCGGTTGGAGATATACTGTGTTTCCCTGAAAATAAGACCTGGTCTTATTTTCTTTTGGGCTCGAATATAAGGACTAGGCCTTATTTTTTGGGATGTCTTATTTTTTTTTTCAACTACAGGAAGCAGCAAGCACAGGGGCTGACAGGAGTGGGAGCGGTGGTGGGTTACCTTCACTACCAGTTTGCAACAGGAGTGCGTGCGCAGATCACCCGTGATGACGTTGTGGCAGGTGGGCGGAGCCTCCTGCCAGTTTTTCTACTGGTTCTATAGAACCGGACCGAACCGGGGGCAACCCACCACTGCACTGATACCGCTGGCCTGCCCTCTGTCCCAACATCTACTTGCCTGAGGCCGCAACAGAGCAAACCCTCAGTGTGCCCTCCCTGCCTGCTGGCGCTACTGCTGCTGAGACATTGGAACTGAAGTCTTACATTGGGATCGCCTCCCCACCCCCATGCCTCTGCCAGGCTTTTGGGCCTGCTGCACCTGCTGCTGCTGGCCTCTTTCCCTCCTGGCTGTGCTGCTCCCAGCAGTAGTAAATCTGAGGGTGGGAGAAATAAATGCAAGAGTGGAGAAACGAGTGCATATTTTAATGGAAGCCACTAGGATGAATTTATTTAAAGGGCTTCTCCCAAAAAATATTCACTGCAAATTATATACCAATGGAATGATTTTACTCATATGTTTATATATTTAGTTAATCAAAAGTCAAAAAAATTCATAAATGAATAATCAAGATCATTCCCTGGAAAAACAGTCGAGGCAAGATAATGCTAATGTAACTGGGTTGCAAATAACCACTAGCTGGTGGAGAAGATCCTGAGCTTTAGGTATCTCTTAGGGCAGAGGTCGGCAATCGTAAATACTTAAAGAGCCATTTGGACCTGATTCCCACAGAAAAGAAAACACCAGGAGCCACAAAACCCTTCCCATGCCTGACTATTTCCTGAGTAGCCACAAAACTAGCATATGTAGTTGAATTAAACGTTCTGTTTTCTTCTGAAAGTTTTCTTTTCTTGGATTTATCCATGGTTGGCCTACCGGGGTGGAAAAAACTCGATAAATTGTGTGCCCGTGGTGTCGCACATTGGCGGTTGTGATGTATATTTTGAGTGACAGGGAGCCACAGCAGAGGGATGAAAGAGCCATATGCGGCTCCAGAATCGCAGGTTGCTGACCCCTGTCTTAAGGGATAGATACCTTACTTATCTATCAGTAATATGAATTTCTGCAACCTAAATGTCACAATAGACCCTCCCTCCTTCCCTTCCTTCCTTCCTTCCTTCCTTCCTTCCTTCCTTCCTTCCTTCCTTCCTTCCTTCTCACTAAAATTTGAAGCTTTGGATTCAGCCAGCACTTCTACTGTATACTGTTTCTGTGGATCAATGATAGCTAAACAGAAGGCGAAATCATATTAAGAGATTGATTTAAACGTCTATGACATGCATTCATCAGCAACATTCATAAAATGCCTAGTTTAGAGCAGGGTTGAATGTATCAATTTCTCTTTTGGCATACAAGATATCAGAAAAGTCATAAATGTTTAGGGCACCAAATTCATATCTTGAAGATAGAGTGACAATAATTTCTGAGATTACCCTTGGAAAGGAAAAGAAAATGCATTAACTGTAGCTGCTGAATAATTTGTATCCCTCCTAGATAAACAAGTACACATCAATAATTCTTCTGTCTGAGGTGGGGTGGGGGGAACCAGGATGATATTGTTGGGAAGGGATTGTTTTCTTTCTTTTCTTTTCTTTGCAAAGGTCAGTCAAAGATCTAAATCTGTAGCAGAAACACATTCCCAGTTTTTAATCAAAGGGAGTAATGTTTGAGATTGAGATTACTATAATGATTAATAACCCTGATGCATGCATCTGACTATATGCCTGCATTTTGAATATCTGGAACAATTCTTACTGTGGGGCCTATTTATGAAGAACCTTGCATAAAGCTGAATGACAAAGCTACTTTGATACTACTTTGATGTTAATGCATGAATGAAACCATACCACTAATAACACTCCTGTATATTTGGACAACTATCCAGTGCAAGTTCCCATGTCATAAGAATATTATAGAACAGCGGTGTCAAACTCAAGGACCATAAGCCAGATCTGGCCCACAGGGTGCTTAGATCTGGCCTGTGCGCCCCGCCCCCCAGAAACAGCAAAGGACCAGTCTGTGATGACTCTACCAAAATTGAGCTCAGGAGGGCTGTGCGCAGCCCTCCCGACCTCCGTTTTTTGCTGTGATGACCTCCTGCAGCCTTCTGCCAGTGAAAACAGCCCTCCCAAGCTCTGTTTTCTCTGGCAGAGTGCTTGAGCCACCACAAGCACTGACACGAGTGATGTCAAGCTGGCCACACCCCCTCTGGCCACACCCCCTGAGCAGTGGTAAAATCCAAATTGTTTTACTATGGGTTTTGTGGGTGTGGCTTGGTGGGCATGGCTTGGTGGGTGTGACAGGGGAAAGATACTGCAAAATCTCCATTCCCACCCCACTCCAGGGGAAGGATACTGCAAATTCTCCATTCCCACCCCACTCTGGGGCCAGCCAGAGGTGGCATTTGCTGGTTCTCTGAACTACTCAATATTTCCACTACTGGTTCTCCAGAATCTATCAGAACCTGCTGGAGTTCACCCCTGACCTCGAGGTGAAATACAGTCCTGATGCCACCCTCAATGAAATGGAGTTTGACACCCCTGTTATAGAATTTTCCCTTCTTTATCAGTATTACTCCATTTATTTGCAAATAGAAAATCCCATTCTATTTAAATGCTAGTAAGTAATAACCAGAGATGTCAACAAAGAAGCAAACCAAGACATAGTCCTCCATGCAACCTTAATCATAGCAGGAGTCACCCAAGGGACAAACCTTGTTCAACGTGTAGGCTCCTTGGCTCCTAAATAAAGCTAAAGAATAATACTAAATAAACCTTAAGGGGATTTGCTGCTGTATAAAAGTGATTTCCAAGCATCTTTGTACTGCTCCCAAGTATGTCTCAATCTGTTTTTCAACTTCACGGTTATCTGTTGCTTTGAATTTCCCGAGTCTAATTTTTCTTCTAAGACAGGTAGTTTGCTAATTCACAACACAACTGGATTCAGTCGGTTGGCTTGGGCATTCTCCTAAGAGAGAGAGTATCTCAATTAGTATTGTTGCCGTCAGCGCAGGGAAATTCTTGGCCAATATATGTGTGTTGTATAAATTTTAGCATAATTGGAATCCACTTTATTCAGGATGCCTGAGTATCAGAAATGGTATTCAGCAAGTTCTGACCAGTTATGGAGAACTGGTAGCGGAAATTTTGAGTAGTTCAGAGAACCAGTAAATACCACCTCTGACTGGCCCTGCCCCCATCTATTCTCTGCCTCCCAAGTCCCAGCTGATTGGGAGGGAATGGAGATTTTACAGTATCCTTCCCTTGCCATGCCCACCAAGCCCACCAAGCCATGCCCAGGGAACCAGTAGTAAGAAAATTTTGAATCCCACCACTGGTGAGCATGTGTGAGTGTTCGGGCTGACCATTTGTAACACCCACTCTGGACCTGTGAGAACAGAATACAGTAGATTTATGTGTAATTCTAGTCTCCATCCACAGTTATGAAAGGTGGAGACATGAGAATGCATGTGTGACTTGGAAAATGATTAAAGGTTGTACTTTTTTTTCCTATAAGAAAAGCACATCTTTGATATTACTTAAAAACCTACCTTAAACACCCATATCAGAGATGAAAGGAATATTAAAGAAGCAGTTCTTATTTAGGGTTTTTTTTTTAAAAAAAAAGGAGGGGGAGGGAGAGCTCCTTGATATCCTCGCTTCTGACATGGACTTTTAAAAATAAACAGATTTTGCAAACGTTTGAAAAGCTGTCAGTTAGAAATCAGTTTGATGATCTCTCCAGTACTACGCAGTACCGGAGTTTTCAAAAGTAAAAAAGTCCACCTATCTATTTACGACTAAAAACTCTGAATGCCGTCATGACTTCCAGGTAGGTGAAACGCTGTATCAAAAGGCAATTTTTTTTTTTGAACCCAGGTACCTTGAATAGGTTGACTGAAAGAATGCATCCAAAATCCAAGATCCGTAAATCCCGAGGGAATGAAATTTGATAACATGGCTGATTCAGTGCTTCTGGCTGCTGCTGCTGCATTGCTGGTGTGATCATATGATCTTCACTTTCACCGTTCGGTGCCACTTACCTGCCTACTGACAAGGAACAGGGAGGGGAAGGGAGGGGAAGGGAAGGTTTCCAATACTCCCCGTCAGATTTTTACATGGAAACTCAATGGAGAAGTGACTCCTGCCTCCCACTTTCTGCCTTTGGCCCTTCTGTGTTTGGATTCGGGAAACACCTCTGAAAGGATGACCCAACACTGATCCAGGCTGTTGGGTCCTTCACAAATCCCAGCATTATTTCCATCCAAAAATCTGATGCCACTATATGCGCTATATGCACTAATTAAACAATCTGAAGGAGCAAACCTTCAGATCAAAAAAAAAGGAGCACATCCTCCTCTTGACCTCCTAACACATTGTGACAAATCTGTCCTTTCAGCTGACAGGTAATTAATGTCTGGATAAGGAATCTCTGGGTGGTGGGTTGGATTGTTGGCGACCAATTTAGGAGCAAGGTTTCAACATGGAGCGGCCACCGGACTCCACAAATCCGGAGAAGCCTTTCCTTTCCTTCATCCAGAAATGAAACATCGGTTGCTTTGGAGAAAACAGACTTAGATTTTACTTTACAGGAGCTTCAGGTGTTTTGGTTGGGTTATGTTTTGGTTGGGAAAGAGGGCAGGGGTAAGAAAAGGAAGAGGAGGAGGAGAAATAATTGGCAGGAGGAAGAGGAGGAGGGGTTGAGTTTTCCTAAGGTGGAGCCGCATCTTGTATGAAATATCCCTGGCAGATTAAAAAAACCCTGCGATGGGGAAGGGCTTAAAGGCTGAGTCAAAAGGCTATATAGAAGTCACTCTTATTTGCGCCTATCCCCCCCAGCCTCCGACCATCTCTGGCTAATAACAAACCGAGCTAAGGAGAAAGACCAGAGGAAAAGAGGAAGAGGGGGCATCGCCGCCGCTTGGATCGTTTTAAAAGAAAAGGCAGGCGAGGAGTCCCCCGCGCGCGCTCAGCTTCCCCAGATCCTGCTCAGCGCCCCGTCTCATTCCCCTTGCACCCCGAAGCCGCGCAAACGGTTAACTCAACTGACAGGCAGAAAGTCAGCCGAGCTGAGAAGTCTGCTGTGCATGTTAATTGAGGCGAAGGGATAACTGTTTACAGGATGGTGTAGTAGTGGCTGCCCTTCCTCCTTCCTTCCTTCCTTCCTTCCTCCCTTCCTCCCTCTCTCCCTCCTCCTCCTCCTCCTCCTGCTCCTCTCGAGGCTCGCTAGGATGGTTGGCGCTGCTGTTTCCTTTGGACCGTGGATTTTCGCTTCCCGGGACTACAGAGCTACGCGGGACTGAGTTGCCCTTCTCGGAGAGGGAGGGGAGGAAAAAACAAAAAAGGGAAGGGAAGAAAAGTCTGCGTTTCGGGAAGAAGGGAAGGGAATTTCTCTCGGAACGGCTGATCCTGTGCCATAACCGACTTTGTCAGTGGGTGTAGCTGCTGTGCAGGTAAGGACGCGTTCTCTCTCCGGCGGTTAAGTAAGGAAACCGCGTTTCTCGTGGTTAGTCACGGATCCTTGTTCCTTCCCTCATTCTTTGCCGGTAACTAAGAGCAGAACAAAGTCATTTGCGGGGCGATGTCTTTGGATTCCCTCGTGTTTTTTTGGGGTGTGTGTGTGTGTGGGGGGCAGCTGTTTGTCTTGCGTGGATGAAGTGCCGGAGCATTTAAAATAGAAAGGAGAAGCACTAGCCTCGAAGAGAAACATTGAGGGGGTGAGTGGGGGGGGGAGGGAATGACGCGCGTGGAGAAAGGGAGAGTTTGAAAAGAAAGGCTACCCTCGGCTACGATGAACTGTCGAGCTGGGCAGTGAAACGCGGGGACCTCCGAGGGGTAGATCCACCCCCCAACCATCGTTTTTTAGCCGAAAACTTTGGGCTTTCGGGGATCTTCCTAGGTTGTCGATGATGCTCTCCCGCCTAAGGAAACCCAGAGGAGAAATCTGGATTTGGGACTCCTTTGGTTATCTTGGGGAGGGTTTGGCTTTCTCGTTGTTTGGAACAGATGGGTTTGTGAGCCTTTTTACACGAAGGGGAAAATGTGGCTGTTAGGCGCAACATTTTGGGCAAAAAAAAAATCCACTCAAATCAGGGAAACTCCTCCTGAATGATTAGATTTCCCTGGAACTCGTTTCCTCTTCCTTTCAATGGCTTGAAATGGAACCGCTTATTTCAGGGCAATTTGGGGGGGGTGGGGAACGGGACGGATGGCTTCAATTAAAATACAAATCAGCCAAGTTATGAGTCACATTTCTGTTAACCTGCAATGTTAATTAAATTAATTGATGTCACTTGGCATGCCTTCCGCTGGGTACATTTATAATATGAGGTTAGCTACTGGGAGGGTGACAGAGATCTATGATCTCGGTTGAGGGGAAAGTATTAACCAGAAACAATTGCATGCCACAGACACATATATAAAAGCAGGCATTTTTTTTAATGTACATTTGTATTACCAGTGGCTCCCAAAGACTGGGTTGTACTCAAAGAGTAGAAAGATTATTTAAAAAACAAAAACCCTGAGCTATCTTTTTCAAAAGCCCTAAGTCTTTTTCTGCAGAGGGACCAACTATGTGAATGAAAGACTGACAGATTGCAGTATGCTCAAGAAAGTATGGCACTAGTTAACATGGGAATGCTCTCCATTTGAGGAAAACAAGGATGGAAAACTTTCATTTCCCCCACCCAAACATATCTATATGCAAAGCGATCTTCAATGCAACCCAGACTGATTTACTTAGCTTAATTCTACCCAAGGTTATAATCACATGCATAGAATGTCCTTTTTCCCCTAGGAAAAGAGTAGATAAACAATACACTAAGAAATAAACCAAAGATATGGATGCTGATAAGAGTATCCAAGCAGCAGAATAGGTGAAATTAGATTGTCAGGTATAAATACTGGATATTGCATGTGGAATACTTGGAGTGGTAAGGAAGCAAGATACTTTGAATGCCTGGATCTGCATGCTGTGCCTTGCTCACCAGTCTGAGATGGTGGGGTTGGGGGAAGGAACTCAACCAGGACTATTTAAATTAAACCAAGATTAAACCAAGATATTAATTCCTTTGTTTCAAAAGGTATCATATATAGTGTGTGAACAAAAATAGATCAACAAAAGATTAGTCAGCTAAGAAATATATTTAGAAACATTGAACTTATAATACTGTAGATATTATACCTAGGGGTAAACTCTGTTAATCTCCTTGAGACCTGTACTGATTCACCATTAATATGCCTCTTAAAATATTCCAATAGAAAGGAATATGATGTACAACAGTGGAGTCTTTGGTTCTCACTGAGCTTGGTTGTTTGCCTGCAGATGTTCCATCCCCCAACTAGGTAACATTATCATCAACACTGTTGATGTTATGTAGGTGGGTAATGTCTGTAAGCAAACAACTGAGCTCAGAGCATACCAAGGGCTCCAGATGTTTCAAATGTCCCAGAGAGGACCATTGATAACTGTAGAACCAATTTCATTAGTTTTGCTAAATGTCCATATACTCTCGCGAAGGAAATTTTTCTGCAAGAAACAATAGAAAAACCACATCAATTAAAAAAAAAAACATCTTTCAGAGTTAATTCAGATGAGCAGTCTAATAATATACACGTTTATTCAGAAGACCTACCAGGCTTCATAGAATGTACTCTTAAGTAAATGCGTGAAGACTGCAGCCAATATATAGCCATAAGGGCATCTTAGTGGAAACAGGATGCTGCCAATCTAGCATGTTGTTCCCCCGTCATGGCTAACAAACCAAATGCCCCTAGAAAGCCCCCAAAGTCTCAAAACAAATAGCTCTTTCTCCACCACGGTTTAGTTGTGTGACTTTCCGTAACCTTCATTGCAAGTTGGGTGAAACGTTTGCCGCAAATCATCTTGATTGAATAAACCCAATTAGTGCACAAGCAACAGATTATGCGATGTTTACACAGAAGAGGCATTTTCTAAACTTGTGAGATTTATGAGATCAGGCAGATGCTTGTGGTGAAGTGAAAGGCGGAACAGTTACATTTTCACATAACATTCCTTCCCGTGTCAAATTGTTTTCTTAAGGTGAGATGGACTATGTTTAGTTAAAACAGCCATTCTGACTTGATTCCCCAACTTCAACAGCAACTTTCCAAACAGAAGATGGTCATAACCTGGTAATAATCCACACTGAATTCATTGGGAATTCTTCCAAGAAAGAGTGTCTTAAGCACACACACTTGTTTACTATTGTAGGAGAGTAGCTTTGATTTGCTTGCTTTGTAGTTGAAGAATTGGCTTCCCCTTTGCCTCAAAAAAAAAAAAAAAACCCACCAAAATAAACTTGCCTGATGTGTCTGAAGTAATGTTTTATTTTTCTGCTTAGCAATTTTTCCCTTTGAAAAGTTATCTCTTCATAAATTGCTGCTATAAAACAATGCTCAACAAATGCATTGGATAAAAAGGAAGCCAATGTTTGCAACCGTAAATTATTCTTCGCATTTAAAAGGATAGTATGGGATGGGATGGGATGGGATGGAATGGAATGGAATGGAATGGAATAGAATAGAATAGAATAGAATAGAATAGAATAGAATAGAATAGAACAAAGTTGGAAGGGACCTTGGAGGTCTTCTAGTCCAACCCCCTGCTTAGGCAAGAAACCCTATACCATTTCAGACAAATGGTTATCCAATCTCTTCCTAAAAACGTCCAGTGTTGGAGCATTCACAACTTCTGGAGACAATTTAAATGTAAATTTAAGAAGATGTATGCTTCACTAATTTTCATGTCTGAAACCAGGGTTTTATAAATAATGTTAGCCATGTACACAGTAGATTGAAGTTAATGACCCTGTTAACAATCCCACACGTGTCCCTTTGCATGTCTCTTTTCTGTCTATTCCCCCCCCCCACACTCTTTATTACTTCTAGCTTTTGGTCAGAATAGACCTAGAATTATTTCTTCATTTTTAATGCTACTTTCAAAGTTTTACAAGGGCATCCTTACAAGGCAACAGAATGCCTAGTTCATTGTCCTATGATGGGGACCAGTTAAATAGATTGATGCAACCTGAAGTCCATGATGGATTTTTGACTGGGAATTTCAAAGCCTCCCTTCTGCAGTTCTGCTGCTGAATTGCAAAATTAACTGTGGGCTGTTGGTGCACAACTATTATTTTCTCCGCATCTGTTTCTCTCTCTCTTTCTTTCTTTCTTCACCGTGTCTTGTATTTGGATTAAAACAAACAACCACCCACCCCCACCCACCCCTATATTGCCATTTTTGTAATTCATTCTTGAAGACTAACCTCCAGCATCAAAATAGAAAAAAAATAGATAGTATTAAAAAAATAATCAATCTAGCCTCCAACCTGAGAAAGAGATGAAATATGTCTAGAAAATGCATTTATTTATTTGTGCCTCTGGTTAAGTGTTGTCTCCTGGTGACTAGCTGGAAAAGACTCTGCAGTTTTCTTGGGAAGATTGATTTGCCATTACTTGATTAGTAGGGCTGAGAAAGAGGGATAGCCTAAGGTTCAGCCAGTTGTTTTTGTGCCCAAGGAGGGACTAGAACCAGAGGTGGGTTTAACATATTCTTACCACCGGTTCGCCACGTGTGTGCATGCTTGCTTCATGCATGCACCTTCTGTAAATGCACCCAGCCTTCCACGCATACACTTTGCTCGTGCGTGCACCTGTGCATGCACCCAGCCTTCCATGCATACACTTTGCTCGTGTGCACACCTTCTGTGCATGCACCCAGCCTAGAAAATGTAGCTAAATAGGATGGCATTATGTTGGGGCGGGTGGGCGGGCCCCTGCAGTCGCCGCTACCACTTCGCCCGAACCGGCTGAATACCATCACAAACTAGAACTCAGGGTCTCAGATTTCTAACCTGATGCCTTAACCACTACACCAAACTGACTCTTAGGTCTAGAAAGTATCTTTCGAAAGTCCTAGACTTTAATGTCCCAAAGGTGCTTTTTCAAGAGGCAACTGCTTTTCCTTGAAGACTTTTTGCTTCTTATCCAAGAAGCTTCTGCAGTTCTGAAGAAGCCCCTTGGATGAGAAGAGAAATGTCTTCAAGGAAGAGCAAAGAAAGGCCCAGTTGCCTCTTGAAAAAGCATCTTTGGGACCTGAATGACTGAGAATCTTCATAGACATCTAGAGTTTAACATAACCAACTGGAGAGACTGATAGGTTGCATGCATTTTGAACTTCCCTGCAGGGTTGCCATAACCATTTCCTTCTAATATGAATTATTAAGAAAATGAAATTCATTTCTTTTTTTTTTCAAGTTTTTTATTTATTTATTATTATTTTTTACAAACATATCAATGCATGACAATGTGGCGCCTGGGTATCATACATTCAAATACAAATAAAACTAATAGCATTAATCATAGTTATTACTTTCAATCCAATTTATATATTTCTAATAGTAATACATATTTATATAAAGTTGCAATCTAT